TGTACTTCTAAGACATAGTATGAACAAACAACATAAAATATCTCTATTTCTGATGATTCATTTATGTCCAAATCATATGATGGATATATTGTGTTAAATAAATATTAAAATTAATTTTACCCTTTCAAAATTTTTATAAATGTGGCTATTAAAAAATTTAAAATTACATATGTGGCTTGCATTGTATTTCTGCTGGACAGCACTGAGCTAGATCACTGATTGCTATTCCAATCATTTAGAACTGATCCTGCTCCTCTTATTGCCCATCTAGTTAACAAAATTGGATTGGAAAATTGGGAGGTAGAGTCACGAGCTCCCTGTCCCTTAACCCCCACAAGCTATCCATTCTGTTTTCTTAATAGTTCACACACCCATCCTCCTCTCTATTTCCGTTGTAAACCCATTTAAATGCCTTACCGACCTAATGACCCCTCTCTAGTCTGTACTGCTTCTTAAATCCTTCAATCTCCCCAGGGCCTTCAGAGACAGGCAAATTCCTCATTAAGGCATACATTTCCCTTCACGTCTGACTTCAGCTCTAGAACTTTCTCCTACCAAAACCCCTCTCCATCAAGTTTCACTTCACCCAGATCTCTGCAAGTACCTCTTGTGCCTATAGCAACCCCTGACGCTGCCCTACCTCATCGTAAGTAGCATAAGGGTTGAGTCTCAACTCCACAATTTATTGTCAAATGTTCAGAAAGTTATGAGACCTCTCTGAGCTTCATTTTTCTTCTAAAAAAGGATTCTACCTCTCGGAAGTTTTGTAAGGATTAAACGAGGTAATGCATGTGATGCCTTAACACAAGAAAACCTATAATAAATGTTGTCAAAGATTTTCTTGGGAAATGTTCATGCCCCCTTCACACGCATGCTTACACACACACACACACACACACACACACACACAACCCACCTGTTATCTGCCTCACTTGGGCTTCCATAGACTCTCTGCCCTCCTCAATTATACCTCTTCTCTTTGCATTGTAGCCATTTGTTCACTCATTCTTGCCTCTAGATCAGTAGTTCTCAAAGGGTGGTAATAGGTACAGCTGACCCAGCGTCACCTGACAACTTGTTATAAACACAAATTCCTGAGGCCATCCCAGATTTACCAAATCAGAAATTCTGGGACTGGGGCCCTGCAATCTGTGTTTTAACAGGACCTTAATGTGAGTCTGATGCTTGTATTTTGAGAACAACAACTCAACTGCATCTCTATGGCTTGGACCACATCCAGTTTACCTTGCATTGCCACCCTGCCCAGCCACTACTTGTCAAATGAAAAAATGTATGAATAAATCCTGATGACGATGTGAGGCCATAAAAGGATATCAGCAGAGGAACTCATGGTCTGATTGTTTTTTAGAAAATTATTAAGTTCTTGCCTGGTCACAGTGGCTCGTGTCTGTAATCCCAGCACTTTGGGAGGCCAAGACAGGTGAATCTCCTGAGGTCAGGTGTTTGAGACCAGTCTGGCCAACATGGTGAAGCCCTGTCTCTACTAAAAATACAAAAAAAAAAAAAAAAATTAGGCGAGTGTGGTGGAAGGTGCCTATAATCCTAGCTACTCAGGAGGCTGAGGCAGGAGGATTGCTTGAACCTGGGAGTCAGAGGTTGCAGTGACCCGAGATGCTGCTACTGTACTCCAGCCTGGGAAACAGAGTGAGACTCTGTCTCAAAAAAAAAAAAAAAAAGAAAAAAAGAAAATTGTTAAGTTCCATAGGCTCTGTAGGGTATATATATATATATACCACATAGATTTGAGGAAGAAAATATTAAAAGCAAGTGAATTTGCTTATGACAAAAGTATGATTTGAAAATCTAGATTTATAATTCAGATAGAAAAATTAATTATTTACAAAAATTATGCCTCCCTTTTCAAAATATTTTTTACAAATCATTTTAAAATATATTATTTTGTTATTTTATTTATATTTAGTGTTTTATAAATTTATCAGCAAAAGCAAGTGTATCTCTGCAAAATTTGTCAACAAATATATTGTCTCACAATTATAATTTAATTAAAAATACTTCCAAATGTCTTACACAGATTTGGTATTTGTAGGTTTTCTGGGTCTGTAGTTCAATCCTCATGTTTGGATTATACAAGCAAAATTTTATAGTAAGTGAATGTACTAAAAAATTAAAATGTCATTTAAATTTTAATATTAACAGAAATAAGAAAAGTTTCATACATTTTTGAAATGTGTGAAAATACATACCAATATAGAGACTATATTACTAATATAGACACATACTAATACATACTAATAAATATAGAGACTATATATTATTTATCTTATTTTGGATAGAAATGAAATAAAGCAATCATCTAGAAATATCTAGAGGCTATTAACACTTAAATTAAAATAAAAACTAATTGATTTAAATACATGGAAGAAATAAAGCAAACCCAAAGACACATGACTCTTAAGAAAATTACAGTGCTGAAGGAGCTCCAAGATGCTCCCAATTACATACCCATCTCTCATCAGCAAATTCTCATCCCAGAAGTTGGGGAGGAATTGAGCCAGTTGATGTATGGGCACAACGTTTGGGCCTTCAGCTCAGGTAATGCCTCCACATTTTCTTTTGACCTTTGAAGACTCTTCTCTACAAAATGAGGGCTTTTATATTGATTCCTTCCTAAAGGGAAACATAGTTTCCTGCCCTGACTCCTTCCTCCCTGCTAATAGAACTGCAGTTTTTCTTTTATTGAGCCAGTAGGTCCCTGTCCCTGGAAGCTCAATCATGATGTTCTACCTGCCAGGGTAAACCCATTTACTCTTTGCCTGTGATTATTTGGTAAGTGGGCATGCAGCCCTGTAGCGGACAATGAGACATAATGCGAAGTCTGTTTGCAGCTTCTAGGAAGGATTTTTATTCTGTGATAAAAGAAAGACAGCTATGGGAAGAAGGTCTCTTTGGCACACATCCTTTTACTCCTTTTTAAAAATCATGTTGTGCCAACTATCACGGAACCACAGGCTATGCAGGTCTTAGGGAGAGAATGAAAAGCATGGACGGGAAGAGACAAAGGGTTAAGGAAAGAGAGGCTGAGGATCATAAGGGAGAAGAGATTAAGAGGAAAGGAATGTGAGAGCCTGAGGGCGAAGTGGGAATGAGAATAAGGGGCAGCTAGTCGAGACTTGGTGAGTGGGGCTGGGGGTGGACATAGGCAAAGAGTAGGGGGTGTTGAGGATGGTGTGGGAACAAGGGGTGGGGGAAGATCCTGAAGGTCCCAAAACCCTGGAGTCCTGTTTTCTCATGGCCCTCTTAGGCCTGTCGTCCCACCAATTTAAAAATAGTTGGAAGGAGTGAGTCCTTGGTGGATCTGTAAATCTGGTTCATTCAGCCAATTGGTTGTGGTATGCTCTCTGCTAACTACCTTCTCCTCTTGCCTCTGGCTGTGGGCTCCTTTTGTACCTAGGCCAGTGAAAATATGTGGTCAGTTTGGTGAATTGGTCATTCAAAGAAAATTAATAATAATCCTAAGGTGTTGGAGTGTGGGCTAAGCAAAAATGGCTTTAAGATGCTAACATGAAAGAATAAACTGAATAAATTGAGCATTTCTCATGTGAAATGCTGGAACCTTTATTACATTCATAAGGATATCTTTGAAAAGATTCATAGTGAAATTTGGCACATTTTTGATTGTTTATTGGCTTTTTAAGTGTTTCTTCATGTGTGTGAATTGCCTATTTATATACTTTGTCCATTTTCCTATTGGTTTATCCTTTTCTAACATTTGTGTGAGTTTATACATTATAGGTATCAATCCTCTGTTTGTGACATATATTGCAAATATTTTCTCCCAAACTATTCCTTGGCATTTAAGCCTTTAATCCGCTTGAAATTTATTGTGGTTTCTGGTACAAGACTGGAATGTAATGGGATTTTTCTGTTTAGAAGTTAGATTTTTCACAGCACCATTTGTCGAATAATCCATCTGATTCTCATTAATCTGCAGTGTTTCTTTCTTAGGTCTCAGATGTAGAAGAGTCAATTTCAGGACCATCTATTGTGTTTTAGTAAATTTCTCTGTAAATTCTTGCAGAGGTTTAATTATTGTGTTATTATGTGGGTTTTTTGTTAATATTATTTGGAATTTACCTGTCCTCATCTTTTTATACATTGGTGCAAGGTTGGTGCAAAAGTAACTGCGGTTCTTGCCATTATTATTATAATTGGCAAGAATTATAACAGCTGAGGTTTATAACCGTTTTGTCAAGTTAAAATATAAATATTGGTATTTAGGAAGTTTGTTCCGGTGAATGAAGGGTAAGTGATATGGATTTGTATATTGCATTAATCCCTGTTGCAAATGTGGAAGATGCTAACCTCTTCAGGAGGCAACACTGTTTTCATACGTAGTGTTTTATAAATTTGAGAAAAAGTAAGTGTATCTCTGTGTAAAATTTGTCAACAAATATATTGTCTCACAAATTATAATTTAATTAAAAAATACTTCCAAATGTCTTACACAGATTTAGTATTTGTAGGTTTTCTGGATCTGTAGTTCACTCCTCATGCTTGGATTATACAAGCAAAATTTTATAGTAAGTGAATGTGTTAAAAAATTAAAATGTTATTTAAATTTTAATATTAACAGAAATAAGAAAAGTTTCATGGTTGAAAATACATGCTAATATAGAGACTATATATTGTTCATCTTATTTTGGATCAAAATGAAATAAAGCAATCATGTAGAAATGTCTAGAGGCTATTAATGCTCAAATTAAAAGAAAAACTGATTGATTTCAATACACGGTATGAAGAATAAAGCAGACCCAAGACACGTGAGTCTTAAGAAAATTATACCGCTGAAGAAGCTCCAAGATGTGCACTTTGAAGTCCTTCCCATCCCCTGGGTCTTTAAGCAATACAAGGCTAGCCAACACTATCTACTGATTATTCATCATCTTTTGTCAAACTGGTTACCAAAGACCATGTGAAAAAGCCCAGGCTCTTGGACCTCATGCCTGTTTTCTCCACAGGTTGTTTTGCAGAAGCTTCTTCTATGTGTCATCCTGTTCTACACCGTGTACTATGTGTCCCTGAGCGTGGGCTGCGTAATGTTTCAGTAAGTAGCATATTGTCTTCAAACAGAATTAAAAAGCTAACATTGAATAGGAAAGGACTTTATATTTAACATTTCACATGTCTTTATGGATTAGAGGACATGGATTTTTTAATGGCATATTTTCTCCACTTTTATTTATTTATTATTTTTTGTAGAGACAAGGTCTCACTGTGTTGCCTAGGTTGGTCTTGAACTCCTGGCCTCAAGTAATCCTCCTGCCTTGGTCTCTCAAACAGCTGGGATTACAGGCATGAGCCACTGCATCCAGCCTACATTCATTACTTAAGTAAAAATAGGCAAATGTTCTATCTCTGAAAATGATAAAAGTAACAATCATGAAATGAAGTGGCTAGAACCAGTTAGGACTGTTTCTCCTACCTCTTTGGAGGATGTTCGTGGAAAGAAAGTGAACCCATTACTCCCTGGTCTGGTATCAGAGCAGGTTTGAACAAGAAAGGAGCTTAAAGATCATCCCCATCCAATCTAAATAATTTTTGTTACATATTGGAAATAGCTTTTGGGAGTCAGTAGACTCACGTTCTGACTCAAGTTCTTACTAACTTTCTGAATCATCTTAACCAAATCACAGTATCTCCTATGTCAATGCTTTCATTTGTCGAATGGAATAGTCCAAAAACAAGAGTTATTATGAGGATACAATGGGATAATACATGTATTTTAACGGTATCATTTCTATATAAGTGTAAAATATTATTTTTTCAGGTAAGTTTTTGTCTTGCTATGGTTGAATTTTGTCTCTACAGATTTAGGTTGCCAATATATTGGTTGCCTTGAGATACATTATGTGTATTTACAAATGATTTCCTAGAAATTGAGTGCTTGTACAATTCTATTGTGCAAGCAAAGAATTCTATTTCAATATGCAAATTAAAACCAATATGCAACTGTCAAAATACAATGATACCAATGTTTGCAATGGAAAGAATGTTATTCAGCATGCTTGGAGGCAAACCCACAGAGGAAGTATCTGGTGCTCACATGCAGTCTTAGCCTATTCCCTGAAACTGGAGATGGTGAGGCTGTGCCGGGGGTAAGGAGAAGGCAAGACCCTGTAGGATCCTCTGAGCATGGGATATCAAAGGTTTGTAGTTAACATGAGTCAGAGGTGAGGAATTTGAAGTAATTAGACCTTAAAGCTTCAGGAGGCAGCTAACTGGTTGGCTGGGTGCACACAACTACAAACTTGGGCCTAGTATAAAGTCCAGGTGTATACTTTGTAGACTCAGATTTTAGAACAGGAAGGGAACTGAGAGATTAATCTCTTCGATTTACAGAGAGGAAACTGGAGCCTAGAGAGGTTAGGTGCCTTGTCCAAGTTCATGGTTGTAACATCAGGAGGATTAGAACCTGTATCTTGCTGTTTTTAAACCTCCGCTGTCTCCAGGATATTAAGTTCTCCTTCCATGTTTGATGGCAGGAGCTACCAAGATTCTAGCTGAGACATCAAATAAAATTAAGTCCACTTGATGAATAACATGGGACTTAATTGGACAAAGTGGACAATGTGGACAAAATGTTATTTGGCTGTCATCCAAGTCGGCCAGTTTAAATTTTTTTTTTCTTTTTAGCTCACTTCATTTTTTTCTACTTAGCACATTTTTTATATAAATAGTATCAAATAATAGGTGTCATTTTATAACTTTTTTCAACATTACGTTTCAAAAATATATCCATGATAGGATGTATTCAGCATTTAATTATTTGATCTTAACTGCTATAGTAGCTCACTTAATTTTAAAAAATATGTTACAGCACCATTTTGGTGGGACCTATTTTACATCTGAAGAACTCCTGGCTTGGTCCTAAAGTGAGTTTACATTTCGTAACCAGACATTGCCTTGCCCCTTGTTACCTTTTCTCCCTCTCACCTCATGATTGAGCTGAAATTTTGCTGTAATTGTTACCACAACTTGTAATCTAGTAAGAAGAGTAAAATGTTTGAGTCAGAAAAAGATTCTATAGAAATTACTGTCATCATTGCTGATTCCTTCCCATTTCGGCCAGTTTTTAAATGTGTCACAATGTGGGTAAATTGAATGACTTATCCTTGTATGTGAATAGTAATGTGGAAAGCTTTGAACTGCCTCAGCCAGAGTAAACTAAACTATTCTCATTTACATCTTTAGGGTGCATGAGTTGGATTTCCTGGCACCATTTGATTTCAAGACAAATCCCTCATGGCGCAACATATATTACAAAGGTAATTGTTTTAATTTTAAATACTTATCACTTAGTGAACTAAATGCCACTAAAAGTAATTTTTTAATTAAAAAATTTAAATATCAGGCCTTTCTCACGGTCATCTGTGTATTTTATCTGACTTCAACAATGAATTAGGAAAAGTGCCATCAAAAGTTTTAAAGTTGTTATTCCTTGAAGATTGAGTAAGATGGAAGAATTCTTATATAAATTTTCATTTCATGGTACTGGTGGTAAATTTTTGTTCATTAAATATTTTTAAAGAAAAGGAGGAATAGTGACTTAATGTGCTGATGTAGAAAAATATTTGTGAGACATAAAATAGAAAATTAAATACAACAAAAGATTTCATATAGTATAATTTCATTTTTGTGGCATAAAGTAAAATACATGGTGTCAGTGATAAGAAATCTGGAGAATTATGCAACAAACTGTTATCTCCCATCTGGGATGACAGGGAACTTTCATTTTCTACTTTGTACATTTCTGCTTCATTTTATTTTTCTTCCCAAAATAGTACAGAACTTGTTGCAGAAGAAAAACAATAAGAAAGAATATACTAAGGCAAAGTTTCTCTCTCTTAAATTTTGCATTGTTATTGAATAGTTTTAATTAATATCTAGTATGTTCACATTATGTGTGTTAATAATCACACCTAGGTACCTTGAATATATGTAAAACATACTTTTTGGGGGACTCTTCATGGTGGGTTTGCCCCAGTTTTGAAAAGTAAAATATTAATGTTGTTTTCTATTATAAAATAAAACATATTAATTAATGGAAGCTTAAAAAATATCTGCAAGTGGAAAAATGAAAAATAAATTAATCACATACTTATATCCTGTATACAGTAATTACTCAATATTTTGTTAAGTTTTTCCCTATTATTGTTTTTAATGTACTATCGATTCCTTAAATTGATAGTACATTCTAGGACATTCTGGGGATCTTCAGAGATCATTAGAAAACCACTGGACAATCTTTTGTGGGGACAAATATGCAAATATAGAAAACTTGCTAAAGGCCAATGAAACTTGATTTCTAATGTAATTTGTATAGGAAACTTGGTCAGTTAGAGTTACTAAATTCAAATAAAAAGCTTTAGAACAGCCTCCTTAAATGGGTATCCTTGTTTGGTATCATTATTGATTTAATTTTGGGTGAAAAATATACGAGAACAAGATACTTTGATTCTGAGATACAAGAGGTCTAACACTTTATCTTAACTTTCTTTCAGTCACTTCCCTAGTTTTTATCAATACTATCCACCAGTGATTTAAAAAAAAAATAGTCCCAGTAAAGAGATGAGTATGGGCCATGTGTGTGTTTTGGGTAGAGGAAGAGATTTAAAACTCAACTGTCATTATTTAATTCTAGTCTTTGGGTCAGTCAATAAAGAAAGGATTGAAGAAGGCTGTGTTTTTTCATAGCAGAGATTAGTGATGATCTTTTACATAGCAGGGATTAGTGAAGATCCCCAGAATGCCTGGCAGAGCTTACAGTCGTCCTTTCCTCTCATGAAACACAAACATTTGTACAAAGATATCAATAAACCCTTGGCCCATTAGATCTTTAATTTTGGGCTTGGGGAGATACATGTCATAACTTTTCAAAGTTGTTTCTCTGAGAATTGATATTTGTCTAATCTCAGAGATATTAATAAAATCTAAGAGTAGTGTCAGAGACTTTGGCATGTATTTATTACAGTCAGGTTTTGTGCAGGTTTCAATAACTTTGTCACCCACGAGATCAGTTTTAGCAAGGACAATGGAAAGTGTGAGCCCAGTTAACACATTTCAATTACTAATATCTGTCCTTTGCATTGCAGAAAATAGTTTGCAAGTTTCTTTCATTTTTACATTAAAACTCCCAACAACTCTTTTGAGATAGGCAATACTCCACATTCCAATTTATGGGGAAGAAAACAGACTGATCTAGAAGTTAAAATCCTGCTCAAGTTCTTATAACGTTTTTTAAAAAGCAAGAGGGAAAGAAACAGAGATTCACTCTGTCACCCAGGCTGGAGTGCAGTGCAGTACAGTGACGTGATTATAGCTTGTTGTAACCTCAAACTCCTGCACTCAAGAAATCCTCCCACCTCAGCCTCCTGAGTAGCTAGGACTATGGGGCACACTATTATGCAAGGCTAATTTTTTAAAAATTCCTTTTAGAGACGGGGTCTTGCTGTGTTACCCAGGCTGGCCTCGAACTCCCAGCTTCAAGTGATCCTCCCCCCCTTGGCCTCTCAAAGTACTGGAATTACAGGTGTGAGCCACCGTGCCTAGTCAAGGTCTTATGACTCTTAAGCTGTAAAGGCGAGACTTAAAGCTGGTATCTTGACTTCAAATTTTGTATTACTTCCTTTAATTCATGCCCTATCATAAACAACACATAAGTATTCTCTATTAATAAACATGAATACAGCTTGTGCAAGATTAAAATCAGTACCTCCAAGCAGCTGCAAGTTAACTTACCAAATCTCTAAATGCTGACAAAAGAGGCATCTCTGTTTTCCTACAATAATGTAGTGATTCTGTAAACCAGTGGGGGAGGGAGGAATGAAATGTGATGGAAAGAGACGGTGTCAATATGACACAATAGGACAGTTCTTTCCTTGATATTAGGTGTCAGGACATGCTGAACTGATCTCCACTGGTCAAAGGGATTCCTGCGCAATTGAAAAGCAGTTAGTCTGAATTCTGTATTTAACTTTTGAAACCTGTTAAGTTAAATTAAATAGAATTGAAGAGGAATAAGTGTGAGGTCTTTAAAAAGATTGCACCTGGGGCTTGTGTCCTTGGTACCTCGCTTACCAGCTGCAATCACTGGCTTGCTGGATAATAAATTACTTCTGCACAGGACATAAGGTGATTATTTTATTTTTTGCTTTGAAAAATATAGAGTTTGTCTACCTAGATGTATTTACTCCTGAATTATCCGAACATGCCACTTATTTCCTGTGCTTTAAAAAGAAAGAAAGGTAATTTTTATGGAAAGTGGTATCATTTACAAAGGGACCTTGGTGGTTTATCACATATATATGTCTCTTTAAAGTTTGATGGATCTCTCTTTTGAAACCACGATAGTCTTAAAGATCCATATCAAAGATAAGAGAAAGAAGATTGACCCATCACGTGTTCAGGACTCTTAGAGATTTGTGGTTCTCACCTGTAAATATCCAGCTCTTTATACATGTTCAGGTAAACCACTCTGTCACAGCCAGTGTATTTAGAACAGTGTCTCCATCCATACCTGTCACTTATGGGACTGTCTTTCATCCATGGTTATCACTTATGTTTCCCAAGTGACAATCTGAATGGATCATTTTATTATAAAGATACAAAGGAACTCATTCGCAAGTTAGTCAGTGCTTGGTATCAAACAAATGTTGTAGTTTGATAAACTCTTACATTTGGTTTATTTTTTTTCATTTCTTAAAATTCAGAACTGTTTTTTTCATTAGTTTTAATACATCTTAAAATGAGATTTGCAATCTGATTACAGATTTGTGCATATTGGTTACATTATAACATTTCTTTATTATATTTCACTTTCTAAAATGTTGAGTACAAATAATGTGAAACAGAAATGATATATATTATTGTTTTTTTACAAATCTAAGAATTATTAAAAGATAAAATATATTAATCATTTTATCTAGATTCGAGGATTGTTAGGAAACGGAACATCTAAAAAATTCTTACCAAACTTTCTTCTCAGAGTAAGCTTTCCTGGTCTTGTTACTAGTTGTATTTCAGCATGTGAGTCGCCCTAGTCCCTGATAATCATATTTTTCCTTTTATTTGCAGTTCTTTTAGTTTCAACAGAAGTCACCTACTTTGTTTGCGGATTGCTTTTTGTTCCGGTTGTGGAAGAATGGGTTTGGGATTATGCTATTTCAGTAACTATTCTTCATGTTGCCATCACTTCAACTGGTAAGCAAAATAAAAGAACAGAAACAAGGAGAATGTATTAAGTCAGATGTTGGAGCTAAACCACTTCCTGAGTAGAGCTTTGTTGTCTGCATATTCTTGTATGATAGCTAAATGACAAAAACTGATGATGAAAGGCCTTCACTCCTCCTTCCAGCCTCACTTTTTTCTACCACTCTTCTCAGAGAGGGTTTTTTTTAACGTTTTTAAAAATGTTTTATTTTGAAATAATTTTTAGAGTTACAGAAAAGTTACAAAAATATAACTGAGAGTACGCATGTACTCTTCACCCAGCTTCCCCTAATATTAACATTTTATATAACCGTAGTACAATTGCTAAAACTAATAAAGTAACATTGGTATAAAACTATTATTAGCGAAACTATAGACTTTATCCTGGTTTTCCCTACATAATTTTTCTTTTTCAAGATCCAATTTAATCAGAACTGGACTGAAATAGAGATGTTTCCCTTTTATATTCAACTTGTCACCAACTGGACCAGGTTTGCCCTGTAAGACATATTTTTCCTCCAAAATCCTTCCCTGAGGGCAGAAACTGATCAAAGACTGGGAACTGGGATCCACAGACACCTGTCCAACAATAGTTATTTTAACACAAATACCAGTTCTTAGACTAAGTGGTTTTTATTTGTACCTGTGATTTTTTGGAGTCAGAAGAAAATAGATACAAATTCCAGTCCTACCTCCTTCTAGGGGGGTTATCTTGGACAAGTCACATCTCTCACTTCAGTTCCTTCTTTACAAAATGGAGAAACTGTCTTACCTGTGTCTAGCATATAATAATTACTCAGTAAATGACTATTTCATCCATTTGTTCACCCATCCACCCAAAATTTACTCATCCACCATATTTTATTTCTCCCTTACTATACTGCCTTACTTTTTAAAAGCATATCAGTCAAAATATAAGTGACTACCACCATGGGTTATAATTTAAAGTTTATTATTATTTATGGCCAACTTAAATCACCGTCATATTTTCAGTGCCCTGATCTCTTGATAGTATAATCTGTCTCCAACTGAAGAACACACAATTTCCAAATGAACTGCAACTTCCCAGCTTCACTGCTATTAGAGAAAGCCAGTACATTCATCTTTTAGCATTAATTTCCAGAGACACAAACGATCCCTCAGTAACTCAAAGAATCACTGGACGCCCTGCCCCCAACACTCTGCTTCTGAAGTGCTGTATTTTACTTTAGGGCTTATGGTTTTCTGCAAGACAGCCACTGATTTTTGTAAAAGGGCTTGGAGTATAGGTATTTTAATCCTCAGGATTGAGATGAGCTATAGGTTTTAGACCTAGAAAAGTTATGAGTTAATGGTCTAACACATGACACTTAGAAAATGTTAAGAAATGACCATAGGACAGAAGTGACTTCAGAGTGAAGTGGTTTGGAATTCCTGAGGGAACTAGGCATTGAGGACTCAGGATGGCCTTAGGATCATCACTTAAAATCAACTTTGGGAGCTGACCTGAGACCCTCACGATTCACAGCATTATTTCTAGGAGGTGTTATAAAGGTTTGGCTTAATAAATGAACTTTTAGACCAGGACTGAAGTACAATTTGGGGCTACTTGATTTCATGAATATGGATGAACTTTCTCTTTGGTGGGTGAATATGATTTGACCAAACAGAAGTATTTCTTCTTGAGTAAAAAATAAAAGGGCATGTTTTGAAACTAAACATTTTTTTTCTATTGCAGTTATGTTGGAATTCCCCTTGACATCACATTGGTGGGCTGCTCTAGGTACATTGGAATTGTTTGTTTAGATTCTCTAATGCACAGAAATAATGTTAAATAGAATAACTTTGGAAATAGATTTGATTCTCTCACAGATTTTATAATTATTATCTAAGATAATAATATCTAAGATAATTAAAAAAAAAAAAGTTTTACTGAAGATGGATGCCACTGGTTGTCTCTTTTGGCCCAAATATATTCTCAGGCCAACCCAGATACCATCCATGGGAGAGATGCTACCGTATTCATAACATGTATTGGAAACAAAAATACATTGATAAATAGACATATAAGAAGTATAATGGCCAAGTGTGATGGCTCACGCCTGTAATCCCAAGACTTTGGGAGGCCAAGGTGGGCAGAAGTCAGGAGTTTGAGACGAGCCTGGCCAACATGATGAAATCTGTCTCTATTAAAATACAAAAATTAGCGATGGCCTGCTTGTGGGCACCTGTAATCTCAGCTACTCAGGAGGCTGAGCCAGGGGAATCACTTGAACTTGGGAGGTAGAGGTTTCAGTGAGTTGAGATTGCACCACTGCACTCCAGCCTGGGAGAGACAGAGCAGACTCCATCTCAAAAAAAAACGTACAGCATACTCTACTTCTCCTTTTGGTAAAATTTGAATTTATGAAGCAATGATGATGTTGAGCAATAATGATGGAGCCAGAGTGAAAGCCAGAAAGACTCTATATTCTGGCAAAGTCTTCGTTAAGCCATACATTTTTTGAGCTTGCCTCCAAGACTGATCTGCACCAGTTTTTTTTCTCCCTTTCTTCGCCTCTCAGTTTTTCATTATAGTAGGAAATAAGACCTGAGTTTCCATGAGGAGGGAAACTAGAGCAGATATAACTTTCTTTAAAAAGTGTTTTAGGGACAAATTTTGCACTTTTAATGGAATCTACATACATACTTGATTATATGCCTGGGGGAGCATCAAACGTTCCACTGTAAAAACAGGTTGACTGGGTAGATTCAGAAATAGTATGAGTTTCAGATACACACAGACCTGATCCCAAACAATACAGTTCCTTTTCTTTCCTCTTCTGACATCTCTTGAATCTATTCACAGAGCTTCATGATGCTCTTACCTCTTATTATGGGACTATATTTCATTTATATTCCTATGTCCCAAGACACAGTTTTGTCAAACTTCTTATTGTTCACAACTTATCTAAATAAACTCTCTAGTAACATTTACAGATCCTCAAAAGGTTGAATTTTTAGAAAGACAAAGAGGTTGAAACCTGATTTATAGATCACTGGAGGGAACTGCCCTCTGTAGATGAATTCAAGTGAAATAGTCAAGGCTCAAGCTATACTTCAATGAATTAGAAAATTATGATGCAGGAAACAGCAACAAAAATGAATGTGTATTGAAACTAGCAAAGTGTGAAAAGACCTTCCAGGTAAGGAACTAGGAACATAAGAATATACAAAGGTAAATTAGCCTCCATGCTTTTTTTTCCCGTATTAATACAAAGAACCTAGAAGTATATCTTAGAGCAGAATTTCTCAGATGGTAATGTACATAATGCATGCAGATCACCTAAAGATCTTGCAAAAAGGTCATCAGTCTGGGGAAGGCCCAGGTTATGCTGGCACTGCTGGTCTAGAGACCATACTTGGAGCGACAATAGCACAGACATTGTTCTGAGCCTTTTTATTCTCTTATGCAACCACTAAGTTGAAACAAAGTCAATAAATTTTATGCCTCTATAGTATTTTCAAGCTCTTAACAATTGAGAAGTTCTTCAAAGAATCTAACTTTAATCGCCCCTCTTGTTTTTTAAAATCATCATTTTCTAGAATTGAAGTAGCCAACCACATTTAGCTCAGTCTTAGTTCTAAGAAATTCAGTCTAAATCGGATTATGTTTTCCATGAAACGTGGAAATAAAATATTCTATTTTATGAAACAGGAAAATCAAGATACGAAACAGCAGACATACAGAAAATGAGACTGTTACAATATCACTTTTACTTATTTTCTTCCTTAATCATATTATGTCATGGTAACTAGAAATTCAGGAGAAAAATGCAACATTATAGTATTAACATTTATTTGTGTTAGTAAACTGCCACACAAGCCTGGCATGGTGGCTCACGCCTGTAATACAAGCTACTTGGGAGGCTGAGGTGTGAGGATCTCTTGAGACCAGGAGTTTGAAGCGGCAGTGAGCTATAATGTCACCACTGCACTACAGCCTGGGCAACAGAGTGAGACTCCATCTCTAAAAAATAAAAAAAATAACAAAAAAAAAAGTTAATACAAGTAAATGTAAAGCAAAGTTGGATGCTTCTAAACAGATTTCAATATTTGTCAAATATGAAAAACATTTAGTTCCAAATCTGTTGCATCTGGCTTTCAAATATAAGGATCATATAATCTTTTTCTAAATCGCTCTTAATTGATTTGGCAATAATCTTGTCTAACATCTTCAATCTGTTCTGACAACAGCATGCATACCCAAACATATTCTGGAATTGCCACTCAATTTTAATGGACTACACAATATTAATAGTACTTACCACTTATTGATTTGCATAATATGAGCCAGGGACATTGCATTTATCTCACTAACCTTTATTACAATCCTGTGAGATAAGTATTATATTCCAATTTAGCAAATGTAAAAACCAAAGCTTATAGAATCGGATAATTTAGGAGGATTTTCACAGTCACTAAGGTGTGTCCACTAACCAGCCTTTCCTTCAACATAGATGGCCACCCAGAGATACTTCTGCATAGAATCCCGAGGCTGCTACTGCACAGATGTGATGCTGGCTGCCTCTGTGGTGGGTACACACTCTAAAATAAAGAATATACAGGCTTAAGAGCAGAGCTGACAGAAATTGAGAACACCATTTAGGCAATGTGATGAGTAAAAAGAAATTGAAAAGAAGATAGATTGGGCCGGGGACAGTAGCTCACGCCTGTAATCCCAGCACTTTGGGAGGCCGAGGCAGGCAGATCACCTGAGGTCGGGAGTTCAAGACCAGCCTGACCAACATGAAGATACCCCTTTTCTATTAAAAATACAAAATTAACCGGGTGTGGTGGTGCATACCTGTAATCTCAGCTACTCAGGAGGCTGAGGCAGGAGAACCGCTTGAACCTGGGAGATGGAGGTTGTGGTAAGCCACAAGAGCAAAACTCTGTCTCAAAAAATAACTAAATAAAAGAAGATAGACTGGTCAGTTAGTGTCACAAGACATAGTAGGACTTCCCTGTTGCTTTCTAGTTCTGTGACCGTTGCATTCAAAGCACACAGAGGCAAACATACAAGACATGACTTGGGAAAGAACATACAAATCGTCAAAGGAATTTTTTCTAAACTCAACTGGAAAATAGCAAATGCTGCTTAGCCTTTTGAAAAGAAAATTATGGAATGGTTTAATTTTCATTCAAGTGTCAAACAAAAATATTTTAAGAACTAAAATGTCCATAATAAAATATTCAGTCCCCACTGCAGTGCCTGTCACACAGTAGAGCATTAATAAATATTTATTGTGTAAGTATGGGGAGAATTAAATGAGATAAAATTAAGGAGCAGAGATTTTCCTGGCATGTAATGAGTATATTTGGGGTCCTGACAGAGAGCACACTCCAGTGGACTATCAAGAAAGGCTATTCAGTCTTCACCATGGGAGGATTCCAAAAGAACACAGACAATTGACTGTTGTGAATAATTATATATATATATATATATATATGTATATATATATATATACACATATATATATAGTTATGTATAATTATATATAGCATTATAAATATATGCATATTACATATTAGTTACATAATTCTGTATTTCTATATAAAGATGGAGGAAAATATTTTTCTGTGGGTCAGGTAATTAAACCAAAAGACTTCAAAAACTTTATTATTCTAAAACTATGGAGAATAACATGCTGGATATATTTGTGACACCTTCACTTTTCTTCATGTGTGACATTACTGACTTTATGGTAGCAGTACAGGAAGAGTGAAATTATATTTTTTTCTCACAAAGTGAACTGAGTTCATCAATCATATATCTAGTAAGGAAGTTAACCAAGTGAAAGTGAACTTTTCTAAAGCTTTTTGTTTCGCTTAAGCCAGATGTTGACCACAATGATCACAATATCTAGTCACATTATCTGTTTAGAGTACTAGCATTATTTAGATTGCTTATTGGCTTCTTCACTAGAGTTTAATTCTCCTTATCTTGCGTGTCTGTAAAGTCTTAGATGAGTGATTTTCTCCAGTATTATTTAGTATGTACAGAAAACACATGTAGAAAGTACTGAGGTTTTATTTTGCATGTCTTTCAAAGATGTAAATTTTTACTACATCAGAAAAGGTACTGAAAGAAATGCTATAAGCATAAGTGAAATGACTTTTTCTCTCCAAAAACAAGAACTTATAACTTTTGGATTTTATTTGTAATATCGCAGAATTTACTGTGCCTTAGCCAGCTCAGGCACATGGCATATGCCACCTTGATGCCAAGAAGAGTCAAGTTAAGCATAATGGAATGGCCAATTCAATTTGCTAAGAGTTGGATGACTATTTTGGTTCAATAACTATGGTTGAATTACTTACAGTTGCTGCAGCTGAGCATGGTGGCTCACACCAGTAATTCCAGCACTTTAGGAGGCCTAGGCAGGTGGATCACTTGAGGTCAGGAGTTTGAGACCAGCCTGGCCAATATGGTGAAAGCCATTTCTATTAAAAATACAGAAATTAGTCAGGCATGGTGGCATGCATGTGTAATCCTAGCTCTTCAGGAGGCTGAAGCAGGAGAATCACTTGAACCCAGGAGGTGGAGGTTGCAATGAGCTGAGGTCATGCCACTGCACTCCAGCCTGGGTGACAAAGCAAGACTCCACCTATCCTGCAAAAAAAAAAAAAAAAAAAAGAAAAGAAAGCTGCAGGGTGACATTTGAGCTAGACTTCTTATTTTTTTTCTTTGAGTGAAAAAATTTAAATGTAAGAGAACAGTGGCTACACGCTTGGGAAATTCTATCTCATGGTCTCACACTGGACATGTGTCTTTGTGTGAGGAAGTTGTGCAGACCTGTCAGAGTTCTTAACTCGGGAAAGTTTACCTTTTATGGGAGTTATGCTATTACTGCCACACAGAGAACAGCAGATTTATGAAAATTGTGTAAGACCAGATCAATATTTTAAAACAAACAAGAATCACTGGGTCAATGAAATCAGAACCAAAGACATTTTCGTAAAACCAAATAGTTTAGAATCTCAGGTAGGTGAGATTCTGGTTTTTAAAATATATTTTTATACTTGAAATATTTCCCAAGTTAATGGGCATGCTTTCCTTTTATAATTAGAGGGAAAGTACTTTAGAAAAACAATATATTTTAAGCAACCACAAAACAAACAAATGGCAGATTGAAGAGCTAAAAGAATTGAGAATCATGAATTCCTTGGCATATGCCTTGACTCCATTGCCTTTGATTTCTGAGTTTTAAGCATTCCTTACTATCATTCGACAGAACTATGCACCTATTCCCTAAAGGAAGTTTTAAATTGCAACAATTTACCATCCTTAGACTATATACCTACCCTCTCTTAGCTGAATCTATAAACTATTCCATTTCAAATGCTATGTCAGTTTCAGAAACATTATTTTAGTCATGACAATTGTTCTTATTCATAATCTCACCATGAATTATTCATTATTGATAGTTAACCAACTATCTCTTTCATTTACTTGCAGGATCCGGCTTAATTTCAATGATATGTGGAGGCCAGATTTTAGCATACTGTTTGTTCAAAGACAACTTTATCTATCCAGGTCTGGATAATTTTTAACAGAACAGTTGAATTAATTTGCCTTAGAATTTCTGTATTATTACATACATTGTGTTAGAGCCAAATTTTATTCTTTGTTCAACTTATATTCAAGGTTAAATGTATTCAGTATAAAAAGAAGTTAATGGAGTGCAGAACAACTCAAGTAAAAAACTTCATAAGAAAAATGTTGAAACTTTTAACATGCAGTGTTTCCCAAAGTGTGTTCCATAAAATGCCAGTTCGAAAAGATGTAATATTGCTGTGCAAAGGAGAAACAATTTCATGTTTATACAGGATTCCACCTACATGAAACAATTTCATGTTTCATGTATGTGGAATCCTGGGTTTAGGTAAAACAGACTTATTTACTTCAGGACTTCTCTGAATGTGTATTTATTTATTTTGAGACAGGATCTCACTTTGTTGCCCAGGCTGGAGTGCAGTGGCAATAATCAAAGCTCACTGCAACCTCCAACTCCTGGTCTCAAGCAATCTTCCTGCCTCAGCCTCTTGAGTAACCAGGACAACAGGCACCTGCCACCACACCTGGCTAAAATCTTTAACAAACTATTATGAACAAGCCATCCCTAAGCTATAGTGTACATTATGCACTGTTTCTTAAATGTATTTGACCAGGGACACACTTTAGAAGCTGCTGATATATACTGTGGAAACTATAATGTAGTAAGAGGGCAGATTCAAACCTAATGTGAATCCCTGCAACCAGAATTACATTCTATGATTAGCCTCTGGTATTTGTTCTCTGTTAGAGCATTTCTTATGAAATTATTTCCTTTTTTTAGACTGTGGTCTTCTAACACAGTGCTTTTCAAAATTTAATGTGCCTTTGATTTATCTGAGGATCTTGTTAACAATGCAGATTTTGGTTCAGAGGGCAGGAATGGGGCCTAAGATTCTGAATTTCTAGGGGCCTAGGATTCTGAACTTCTAGCCATTCCCAAGAAATGCCAGTGCTTGGACCATACTTTGAGTAGCAAGGGTCTAAGCAATTGGGATCATATTTTTTTTTAAGTTGGCATAGTTCTGTATCACCAGTCCTCTATTTTTAAAAATATGATTATTATTCCATAAATGCCTGTTGAATTGGGCGTAAAGTGAAGTGAGTTAAGTTTTTATAACTGTGTTAAATATTTACCACATTCTAATGTAGTTAAAGTATCTCCTGATATAAAATAAGTGCCTACTATGGTAACAACTAAAATATAAGGATAAGAAAAGGGACAGGAAAGTAACACTCCCTCAAACACACACCTACACAAATGAGAAACTAAACCAAACCATTGCCGAGATTTTTCTCCTGAGTCTTTTCGCCCTAAAAATGCATTTCTTCCACAAAGGCATTCATTCTCCCAATAAGAAATGTCATGCTGATTTTCTGTATTTTATGTGTCCTTCCAAAAACTGCGATGTATCGATCAGTTGCTAGTTTAGAAAATATAAACTTACCAGGTACATTTAAGCTTGAAAATATGACACTGCTCCTTTCTTCTTTCTCACATTACTTATCACATGAACTTTTGTATCCCATCCATTATTCCCATTCTTCCAGTTAATTTCTTCCAAAATGTTTGGTCACGGAAGTAACAAAATCTGCAGTTCACCTAATCAGTGAAGGGACTATGAATTCCTATTACTAATGAAGATTTTTATATCTTTTAAGGAAGGCAGCATAGGATAGCTATGAAAGTGCCAGCAATATGAGCTTTGATTCTCCAATTAAAACTCCCATTGACAGCACACAGGAAAAAGTGCCTTGCCAGAGAGACAACGAAACTCAATTCTGCTCTGTGCAAAGTGCAGACATTAAACAAACCATGAATACGCTGATGAGGAAGTGTGCCCCTGTAAAACTCACACCCTTGGAAGAAATTTGCAGAAACACTAAAACTGTCTAAATACATTTGTTAATTAAAAGAGATTTGGTTGATTAAGCACCTTTTAATATAATGAGAATTAAGTTCTACTAGTAAATTAGAATAACAATCTCTCCAGACTCAGAAGACCTTAATATCTTGTCATTCTGCAGTGTAGCTTAATTAGCATGTTTATTTCTAGGATTAGAAATCCACCTGCTCAGGAAATTACTATTATGTTACTCCTTCATTTTATTTCTTCTGATCATAGGAATAACCTGTGCTTTTCCTCTTTTACTCATTAAGATGATTACCATTGTCTATTTGATGACATCTCTTGACACAAAACAAATTTAAAATTCAATGCGAACACATATTCTTAGCACAAAAATATTGTATATCAAGCATATCCACTAAATATTCACTTTAGTTTTTATTGCTTTAAATGATAAATAAAACCTTCTCAAAGGCCAAGAGTTATGCTTATTTAACTAACTTTTCTAGTGTCCCATATAAAAGCATAAGTTGGTAGAATCCTACCCAGTATTTTGATGCATATTTTTAGTATTAATATTTTCATATTTTTAAGAAGGATAATACTTTAATGTTATGCATAACTTCTTCACAAATATGCTTTAAAGTTATTATACCATTGTGTTATTTTATATTTAAATCCATTCACATACTGCTTTAATTATGTTTTACTTAAAAAAGTTATGTCCCAAATGAATGAACAGTATCTATTCTGTTGCTGATAATAATCCCAAATATATATATGAGAACTATTTTCACATTTGCAGTATAAAGATCAGATTCCTATCTAAAATTTTATGGTTTTTGTTCAACCAATTTACCTTAATAGCTGAACTGATAAGTTCTAAAGCTGTTTATTATCACTAAAGCTGCAGAGATTATCCTATAAAATTGTGAACATATATAAGATAGATGATTTTGTTTATGATAAATATCTTACAGAAGAACAAAAGCACTTCCTAATTTGTTGCTTTATACACCTTAGAAACATGAGTTGCTAGGTAAGTAAATGCATAACAAAGCATCCATTGATATAGCTTTGGTAAAAATTGTCACAAAAGGAAGAAAATGCAACATGGTTTATACGAAGATAATGTAATTATTCTATAGAAAATTTCAACTTTGTAAAAAGTTATAAAATATGTAACTATTTGGGAATATTTCACATTTTTAATAGAGGGCAATAAAATTACAACTTTTCCATGTATTTTTTCTTACTTAGCCATCTCTTACATTTTCTTTTATTCTATAAATGTTTTTGGTTGTTCAGTAACAAGAAGCTCAAATACATCCTAAAAAACAGTTAATTACCACTTGACTTCCTTCTTAGTGAAGAATATTGACCACCACCATTCCCACATACCCAATAATTCAAACAAACCAGAAACATTATTTCAACTAATTATTTTAAATGACACCTTTGTAAAATATCAAATTGTTAATCTAACCAATATTTTAAAAGTTGGTATAACATTTTGTTATTTAAAACTTTTATTTTTTTATTATGCCTGTGTATTTCTTGTACATTAACACCCTTAGAGAGTACCACAGTATTATATTCCTTATTGTTTAAAAACAAAAAAATACAAAAAGTGTGAAGAAGAAAATCAAGTTAACTCATAGTCTTACAATTTAGAGTTAAGATAATCTCAGTCAGCATTTCTGTATGTGTGTGTATATGTCTATGTGTGTGTGCATTATTTGAATACTTTGGATTATACTGTAGTTTTAAATTCTACTTCTACAAAACTTAATGTTATATTCTAAACATGTTATTAAAAATATTTCAAACAGCTGTACATTATTCTGTGATATAATTTATTTAATACTTAATATTGATGCTTGAATTTTTTGTATTTTTTCTCACATTAAGTAGATACACCTTAGATAGGTCTTCATTTGCATTCTTGGATATCTTTTTAAATGAATCACTAGAAGTAGAATTATTAAGTTCTATGGTATGACAATCTTTTATTATTGAAAAATATTTCCAAATTGCTTTTCAGAAATGCTGTACTTATTTATTCTTCTCTCAGAAGTTGGAGCATAAACACTTTGCTATATCCTTCCAACATTAAGAATGATTATTTTACACAATTAATATGCATCTAACAATTATATTTTTATGAAAATAATACCAACTCCAAAGTTGTTGCAAAAAACTGATTTGTGTAATTGAAACCTAAATTAAGGTGATTAGTAAGCCAAATCTAATTCAGAAGAATTTAATTTCATTCTACTTCTGAAGTAGCCTTTAACAACAAATATGGATTAAATGCCACTCTGCACAGGATGCCGGTTACCCATCCATCTATGTAGCTATTCATGTAACTAGCCAACAAATATTTATTGAATGCCTCCTCTATGTCAGTCAATTTTGCTAGGTCCTCTAATATCATGCTAATCACTATGGGAAATATAAAAGCAAAGGACACATCTGATTTTTTTCCCAGCTCCCATCTTTTGGTTCGCCTAAGCATATCATGTCTCAAGAGGTGGGGAAAGGAAGATAGAAAGGAGGAAGCTTGTGTTGGAACCCTACCCCTATCTCTTATTAACTGTGTGATCCAGATGAATCTTTTTACCTTACCTTACAAGTGAATGGTACTTGTTAAATTACATAACATCTAGCATGGTCAAGTGTAACAGGTAAAGCAGTGTATCTAGTAATTGTAATATCTGTAACTAACTGCTTTTGGGTAGATGATAGGGCATAAAAGGAGGAGAGATTTAAGCTATTTGAAGGCAGGAATATGGTTTTGTTCATTGTTATATAGCCAACTTCTAAAACAGTGTCTGGTACATATCAAGTGCACAATAAATATTTGTTAAATGAGGAGGAAAAAAAAAGTTCATTTTTCCTTGCTTCAAAGGAGTCAAATACAATCCATCAAATTAGTTGCAAACTGGAAGACTCCAGGGAAGTATCAAACACAGGCACACCTGGGAAGGGACTGATCATTGAACTGATTCAGCCAATCAAAAGTCTTTAATGTCCTAAGGAAAAGACATGCATAGATTGCCTTGGAGAAAGAAGATATCAAATAGCAAGGGAGTAAAATGTTTAAACCCAATGTAATTGGACACATTGTACATTCCCAGTACTCCTGTTGAGAGCAGACTCAGCAAAAACAACATCTTAAATTCTCAACTCATTAGTGAGTAAAGCATATTTTACGCAAGGTTTTTCGGGGGAGGTAGAAGAAGGGATTGCATTGCACTTGACAAAGCATACTGCTTTAGCCCTTCATTAGACATCCTGGCTCTCTCCTCTAGCTGCTGCTAATTGCCATATCTCTTTTCCCTTCCTTGCCTTCTCTCCACACAGCCTCTAAAAAACACCTGTATGTTCCAAGCCAGGCAGATCAGACCACCGCCAATTTATACAGGCAATCGAAGTAAAATCCTTAGCTGACCAAAGAACAACTATCCTTTGTTCTCCAATCTTGTTCCTTCAGAGTATCACTTTGTCCTATCCCAAAGGACCTTCCAAGACAGTCACCTTATCAAAAGATATCAAGTCTCTTCTCAGGGCCAAATTTTGCTGCTGGAATGGAAATATTCTATGTATGTTGTAGAACAGTTCTAGCCAATAGCACTTTCTGTAATGATAAAAATGTTCTCTGTCTATGCTTTGTTACACAGTAGCCACTAGCTACATATGGCTATTGAGCTCTTGAAATGTTGCTACTGTGATTGAGGAGCTGAATTTTTAATATTTAAATTTAAACCAGTTGCTACTGCATTTGCCAGTGCAGATCTAGAGGATCTCCTTGTCGTTTTACAGGGAAAAGTTAGTAGCATCTGCAGATATTAGAATTCCCAGTCAGGCTCAGCTTGAAGCTGAGTTTTTAAGGGCAGAAAGATCCAATCTGGAGAAGAAGCATCAGCGGTAATCAACTTCCATAGTCAAAACTAGATTAATCTTCCTCTTCTCTGGGCACTTACTGTTTGTGATTGCAGTGGAAAATGAGAGGGAAAAAGATCCATTAGTTACACAGTGACAGAAAAAAATCCAGATGGAGATGCACAAACTGGACACTGTCTTGGTGTGGGGGCAGAGTCAATTCCATGGCCTGGGGTGGCACAGACACACAAGCACTTGAGCAATCTCAAAGTGGCTTATAAAAAGTCATTGTCTGGCCGGGCGCGGTGGCTCAAGCCTGTAATCCCAGCACTTTGGGAGGCCGAGGCGGGTGGATCACTAGGTCAAGAGATCGAGACCATCCTGGTCAACATGGTGAAACCCCATCTCTACTAAAAATACAAAA